AGTTGTTTACCTGTGCGGATATTGAAGAATTTGTGCGTTACTTTAGTCGTGCGATTCAATGCCTTGAAACATTCATAAGCATTGACCAATGCAACATCTATGAGGTAACAGGCCATGTAGATCCACCAACGATTGTTTTTTCTGCCCGTGTGATAGTATTTTCGCCTTTGGTTAGAACGATCCACGCCACCCATGTGATGTCTGTAACATTGTAACGATACAGGCACGTGTCTCTCGTCATCTACTGCTTCTGCCGACGTAGCCAGTGGGGGATAGACTGTATTTAAAATCAATATTTGCGCGCTGTCATCCTGGTATGCAGTAATATTGATAGTGTCGTCCGGTCTAGTTGCTGCTTTCATTTCACCAATTTTCAATTTCAGCTTCTTGCTTTTCCCTTCAGGAATTAATTGCGGCGGCATGGTTTTCCGATTTCGTCTGCTAAAACTACCGACCATGTACACTTTCTTGTCTTGTAATTCAAGGGCTGTGTTAACTGACGTAAAAAGCGAATCACAGAAAAGAATATGGTTTTTTTCTGTGAAGGGCTGTAGCAACCGGTGTGTTGTCTTCTTGATTGTCCCAGTTTCTTTCTTTCTCCCCTCAATTGTAGTTTTATATTTCACCCCCAAATATGGTTCAAAGTTTGCAATGAGTCGCACACCTGCCATATTTTGAAGCCATCACGGTCGGGTTTGTGGGGCAATCTCTGCTTAAACTTGGACCGTCCCTTGAATCTAATCATACCCTCAATCGAAATTTCCTGTCCCATCTGGTAGTATCGCCGACAATTTTTGAGTACGGGTTTCAGCCACGGGTTGATTTTATACAACGGGTCGGCCTCTGATCATTGACGACGACGTTCAATGTCAGGATCCTGCCGTGGGTCATTTACTGGATCAGCTAAATGAAATTAATGCATTAGCATTTGAAATCTGGCCAGAGTCATTACTGACGCAATTCCCATATTCTGCAGAAAGGGGTTACTCGACCAATAATCGTCGATTGCTGATTCTGGTGGGATAAATTTGTAGAAATATTCCACCTCACGAGCATATGAAGGCAGTTCGAAAGTTGGTCCAGGTTCGTGTTCAAAAACTGGAATAGTAAATATATCGCCGTCTTCCTCCGTGGCCATTCTCCATTCACCAGTGCCGGAGGCAACATAATTGAATGTAGCACCAATTTCTGTGTCGGATTCAATTTCAATGTCGCTATCGAGTACAGGTGGGCAACGTTGCTCTAAAAAATCGTCATTCTCAGCACGATCTTCATCGATTTCTGAATCTGTATCGTCATCATTGGCAACTATGAAGTCATCTGGTATTTTGTGTCGTAGCTCACCTGTTTTTTCGTCCAATACAAGTTCATCATCACGCGTGTCCATTGGCGATGCGTGCATACACAACAAGTTTTTTAATAGTTTGTTTTTCGGGGAAACTCGCAAGTGTTGATTGTTCTGTATCGAATACATTTTCTGTACCATTTCTTTGGTGACATCAACGTTTTGTTGCGTACTCGCTGGGTCGATATGGTCAGGCCCCTGCTTTTCTGCATTGGCAGTTGTGGCGGTTCCGAATCGCAAACATTGTCTTGCAAAAATTGTATCACATCTTCGACGGCACGTTGTATTTCAGCGTGACCAACTTCCGTTTCTTCGGCGTCTGCTTTGTCGGCAGCTGGCGATTCAACCACTTTACGGTTTGCTTTGGATTTCTTTCTTTTTCCACGCTTTGCTGGTGAAAAATCTGTTGTGTCAATGTCAAACTTATCACTCCCCGTACCACTGCACGCGTTTTCTTCAGTTTCCTTCTTGCCTTCATAAAACACTTCCTATCTGTATAGGACAGCATATTAACGTACGTGTCGGAAAGGAGGCACACAGCGAGTCTGGGCTTTATCTCACTTTCTTCGGCCATATTTATACTGAACGACCAGATGTCCACAAGACTGCATCTCCCCACAATTTGAATATTTATTGTTATGTAAATAAATATGTTATTTTTTCGAACACGGATTGGTTACAATTTGCATACACATAAAATTGCATATGCTAGCTCAGACGGTGAAATCACGAGGACTTGAATATTTCCCACCAGCTGTCCCGGTAATTTTACGTTAGTGATTGCCGACATTCCAAGCTCAATCGTTGGAATCCGTCATGCTATTCATTCTAAGTGCCAGGACTATTTGCCAAGCTGGTCAAAATACGTTACTACCGTTATAATCGTGAATCGTGTCGTTCAAATACGGTTGTAATGCTGCAGTTTGCAATGTGGTCAAGGCGTTTTTTTTTTTACGTTGTCGCAAACGTCGCGTTGTGACGGTAAAATAGTGAAATGAGCAGACAAGTGTATAGAATTACATTCTTTATTACTTGGTTAATTTATTTGACTTGACGGAATCGAAAACAAATTCTCTCCCTCCATAATTTCGCAATGTAAAATATCAGTTCCGTACAACGTATTATAAACGCTTGACCGTCTGAGCAACCTA